CGTTGGCTCTTCAGCGCAGCATTCTTGGCCCATGATGTCACTACAATATGTGTGTGTGTGTGTGTGTGTGTGTGTTCTAGTCTGTTTCTAATCAGCAGTTCCCCGTCACCCACTCCTCCTTTTCTTTCTTCTACCCACTCCTCCTTACCTCCCTCTTTTGTATTCCCTCTATTCTGCTCTCTATGTTCCTATCAAAGTGGCTTTACACTTCATCAATAGTACAGAATAGATGAGGACTTATACTACACTTCACACATCTGCATTAGCATGAAATTACCAGTATTGTTATCTCTCACTACTCTATGCATCGCAGGTTAAAAATATATGCACAACCTCAGCAGAGTAGGAGGCAATCGCCCCAACTCCAATTTTTCTGTTATCTAGGTGGGAATGGCGGGTCGTCCACTGACCAGATGGTCATTGGTTTGATCCCCGGCTCTTTTAGCCTGCATTCTGAAGTGTGCTTTGGCAAGATACTGAACTCTGACGGCTGTGCCAGCAGTGTGTGAATGATTTGTGATAGAAAATGCACAGCATAATATATGTATGTATGTATGGGTGAATGTGGCTTAAAGCACTTTGAGTGGTTGATAAGACTAGAAAAGCAAACCTGCTCTTCCTCCATCTTTATCACTGTTTAGCATTCATCTTCACCATAAGAATCTATATTCCATTCTTTATTTGAGGATTTTCCACTGATGTAAAAAAAAGAGAAACCAAAGGGTGAAAAATAGGATTTTCAAAACCCTTTTAAGAATTTGCAGTCAGAATCCCGACTTAGAGTAAAATATCACTTTACAAAAGCCCAACGTTTTGACTTGTCACAGCTGTTTATGATCCCTCTCCGTAGGTGAAGGAGTTCATTAGCTCCTGGACCAGCTCTGCGCTCTGGGGGAAAGCTCAGTACTGATGCATGAGTCACCAGAGCAGCAGCAGCAGCACTGGGAGGGAGTACTTTGCAAAACACAGGCTGCCCTGAGGGAGGCGCTCTCTGCCATTGAAGAGATCTCCCACCTCTACCTGCACCGCTCCTCCTGGATACAGCCCTCCAGGTGCAAAGACCACAGTGATGCACAGATGCATGCAGGGAACTAAAGCGTGCTTCCCATGGCTGTCACTTATGGCTCTCATCTCCACTCAGCTCCACCTGTTCCTCCAGTGCCCACTCCCACTGGAACCACACATTTATGCCCTGAAATCTGACCTCTTACGTTAAGATGACCTCCAACACACACACACACAGGCATTTATGTGCTCACACACTCTCATACACACACAATCAAAGGTTTTACACCATAGAGGCAGAGGGAATTGTTATTTGAGCTGGGTGGGGGTCTGCTGGAAAATGTGTTTCTCATATTCTCTTTCCCATCAGCCTCAGTAGACAGGACTTCTCTCTGTGCAGCTTTCTGCTGGAGCCAGAGACAACAGGCCGAGTGCTCTGTCAAGTTTTCGTCTGTCTCTCTGTCCTTCACCTCCCCCCTCCTACTCCCTCCTTCTCCTAGTATGCATTTTGTTTTATTGCCTCCCTCAGTTTCCCTCATGCAATAACAGTTATTTTTCCTTTTCTCCCCCAGACTTCTTTTTCTTGTCCATTTCTTCACTTCTCCTCTTTCACTGGTTCCTCCCCTGCTTTTGGCCTGTCTCTCCTTTTTCTCTCTGCCTCATTTCCTTTGTGCTCTCCAACGGTTCTTTAGGTTCTTTCCCGCATACGCTCTCCTTCTTTTCTTTCCTGACTCTCTTAATCCAACCTTATGCCTCTTTTCTTTAACCCCCTCCCATACTGTCTGTAAGCATTATAAGGTGCATGATCGTACTTTTATAGGAATATTTCTCGCCTTGATATTCATCCCTTTCTCACTTTAACGGTTGTTGAAACCAAATACAGACCACAACTTGTGTTTTAATTAGGATATCAGCTGTGAATCTGTGTTACAACTTTTGGTTCAGTTTTTTTCCGTTGCACACTGGTTGTAGATCTCTTTAGTCTTGTGTGTTTTTTTCCTCACACTGTTCACTGCCTTCCTGTCTGTTTATTAACACACTGCCCATCCCATGTAACACATCATGTCACAGGCCTGTGTTTCAAATGTAGTTTAGATGATGATGAATGCAGAATCTGTAATAGTTTGTACAGTAATATTATTGATTTGACATTTTCTACAGGGGACAACCCCCAGCCATCCCAAATGAGTTTTAAAAAAAAGTTATTTCCACACTAGAACTCCATCACATATGGCATATATCCACATCTGCAACACTGTTTACCCCTGAAACTGCAAAACTGTTTTGTGGACTCAAACACTTCACCCACCCCTCCACCGGCATAGTGTTGAGTGGATAATGAGTGAATTTAAATTTTTGGTGAACTATCCCTTTAATGCCTTGTCTAACGACACTGTATTCCCCACAGTGAAACCTGCACCAGTAAAGACTGCTGTTGCCAAACCTGGTGCACCAAAAACTGCTGCAAAGACAGAAGCAGGAATTCAGCTCTGAGAATCCAGGGACTGATTACCTCCACCGAGGCCCCGTCTACCTCTTTGAATTATTCAAAAACTTAACAGAGATTGTTTCAATGATTTAACTCAACTGTATGAACGTTTGTCATTTTTGATTACATGTTCTTGTAACTGTAATTAAAGACCTAACAAATGAAATGTTGGCGTGACTTGAATCATGGATAATTTTGTACATACATTATTTATCCTTTTCCTTTCATTTGAATTTAAATTGACACACTTGCATTCAGTTTAAACTTAAACTTGAAACCTCTCTAGGCCACTAGATGGCAGTCCAAGACATGCAATGTCACATTTGAACTTGATGCCATGGGGCCATTCAGTGAGTAACTGATGAGTCCAGGCCTCACAGGTTTCTCATACCTGATTTTTGTTTAATAAATCAGTGATGTGTAGCGGACTGATATTTACGAATGTGTGTAATTTGGTGTAAATCCCCCCAAGAATCTGTATCTTGTGAATTTAATTGTGGTTTCATCAGGGGACTCTTGGGTCTCTACTGAGTGATATTATAGTTTCCTATTTGTTATCACCTTGCCATTTTGCCTGATTCATCTGCAAAGACATTTCATTGTTTTATCTGTGACACTCACAGCCGATTTCACCAAAACCTGCCTGTGCAACCAGGTTTGCTTCAGGACACTGAATCCTGTCTCTTGTTGCAGCAGACCTGTAGTAGTTTGCAATGATTTCTCTCTCTTCTCTCAAAATAATTAATGATAGCATGTACGAGCTCATATTACATTAAAGACGACACACAACACATGAATGAAGCTACACTCATTACATTCAGGGTGAGGGAAGCCCTTGACTCCTATGTATACCTGAAGAACAGCATGTGCACTGTCTTTACATACTGAGGAAATGTTGTGTACAATTCTGAGCTTACACACGAAGATGTGTTGACTTAGAGGGAAGGGATCTGGCTAAATATATTATTAAGTCTGACAAGTCTTGTGGGACAGAGTGTACAGCTCCAGTGCTCAACAAGTAAATACTTTTTGACAGAGCAATTGATCTGTATACACTTGATGCACATTATGTCATGCTATATTCTACAAAGTCACTATGGGCCACATGAGCCTTCATTGACCTCTTGAATGCACATTTAAAGCTTGGTGCAGCTTGGTTAAATGTACGCAGACTGTTGGGCCTTGGTGGAGATAGACACTCTGCTGAGTGCTAGTTTCTGTAATGTTAACACTTAAATTAAGTTTTATTAACTTGAATTGTAAATCAATATAAACTATAAACGTGTATTTTGCATTTAGGAACCTCTGTTTAATTCTTTACTACTAGTATTTGTTTATTATTTCCAACATGAATCTGAAAAAAATATCCAACTACAAGGGAAAACTAGAATCATTGTACTGCGTTTGTATGCCTCCGCCAACCAGTGCAGTTTCTGTGTGTATATTTCTACATACTTTTTTCCAGATTTGTATAAACGTCACTGTAACCTTTACCTTTGACAACTGAAACAGGATGACTTTGTCTATGAGTCCAAGTGACAACTGATCAAAACTTGAAGAAAATCCCTCAAGCAGTCTTGAGATATCACATTCAAGAGGCCAAAAACAGTTATTCAGTGACTCCAAGTGAATTCTACCAGATATAATGAAATTCCCTATGTGCAGTTCTATGAGACCTTGACATTTGACCTCCAGACACCAAAATCTAATCAGCTCATATTTGAGTTCAAGTGAAAGTTTGTACCAAGTCTGAAGATATTCCCTCAAGTTGATCTTAAGATAATCATGTTCGAGAGAAACCTAAACATACTTTGTGACACCACTGTGACCTTGTGTCTAAGTGAATATTTGTACTAAATGTGAGGAGATTCCCTCAAGGCATTGTTTAGATATCGCATTCACAAGAATGAGACGGACGAACAGACGGACGGACAACCCAGAAACATAATGCCTCCGGCCAAAAGCATATGACTCACACTTTGTAATGCATTACATCTACTACATCCGTCTCAATCTCCTTGGCTGTGAAAGTGAGGTTGTCTGAGGAGGTTGACACTGATACAGACAGTTCATCTGGATTTAGTGTTTAAATCCAGATTAATCTGCAGGAACAGTGAAATTCAGCAGCAGACCACACCTTCTCATTCTCTATCAGGAGGAGAGGTGCAGGTCTGACACCTAGTGTCCATTACACACAGCTGCTATAAGTTTGACTTGTATTCCTGCTCTATGCTGTGAACACACTGATAACTCAGTTTAGCAGCATCTGTAGAAAACAGTACTGCAGTCATTTGTGTAACACAAGCTCATCACAGGGGACTTATGTTGACTCAGTTATCAGTTACACATTGTTTTTTTTTTTTTGCAGTTTTATTACAGAGTGCTATTTATATTGTGGAGAAAAAACTACAACAGATGGAGACATTACAATCTTCGCATGTCCCCAAAACATCTGTCAGACATGTAATACGTTCAAAAAATGTTAAGGCCTAAAATTCAGATTATACATTTTTAGACCTTATGGATAACCCACCCAGTACATACAGTACATAGACCATTGACATTAGCTCTCACATTAGAAAAGAAAATACACTATACCTTTTAATGAAAAAGCAACAATGAAGTCTTAAAATTCTAAAATTCATATTTAATTTAAACATAGTCTTCAATAGAAATCTGAGCCCTCGTTTGTAATAAAGCAACTTAAACACCAGACATACATCCAACACTTCACATACATCCATTCATACCCAGCATTACAAAGTATTCTACACAACCATAAACCAAAATCAGATTATTAAAAACATTCCAAATGTCATACAGGTACATAGCATTATATCCATACAAAGTCAAGGTCATCACTTACATGAAGACGGTAGCATCTTTAAGATAAAATATTTTCATATTCTCCAAGAGAACAAAGTTGTCATGGCTGTCCAAACAGAGGTGGAGTTAGTGTTTTAGTCAGTTTATATGTATACCACCAACATAACACTCGGACTGACATATACAAAATTCCTACACCTTAAATGTCAGTATGGTTCAGGAGCACTGCTCTGTCTTTAGTGAAGAAAGCGGCTGAGGTCCTCATGAATCTCAGCCTCATCCCAGGGTCCTTGGATGTTGTCCTTGTGCCTCTGCAATCTGACCAGTAGTAAGGGACAGAGTAATGTAACACTTCCGAGGGCCAGGGCCAACAGCACGGCCCCGCCAAGCCACTGGGAGCCCAGGCCTCCTACCCCTCCAATACAAATTCCCACACACACCCCAGTAAAGTGGCAAGGGGCGTTTTCTCTCAGCCTCTGTAGCAGACAGGGCCACAGGGCAAATACCAGCAGGGCACAGCTGAGCATGGCGAAGGTGTGCAGGGCCCCGGGTAACCTCGAGGCTAAACACACAGAGGCAAACAGAGCCGCATTTAAAGAGAGGCTGCCTGGGGGTGACGGCTGGGCGTACGGGAAGAAAGCTAGGTGGGCCAGCATCATCACAGCAGACATGGCATACACTGTGTCTGTACTCACAGACTCTGTTAGTGTTTTTAGAACTGGCGAGAAGCCAAAGGTGAAGGAAAGAAAAATAGTGGCACTCTGCAAGTCAGCCAGATGTGTGCGGGGCTCGCAGCCAGATTCAACACGAGATGTCATGGCTTGGTGCAGCCCATAGCCCAGCAGGCCACAGACGAGGATGGTCGATAGCAGCGTCTCAGGGGACAACAGACCCTTAGGAGAAAAACAAAGAAGAGGATTAATTAAAAAAACTCATGTACATTATCACATACAGTAATGGCCTGGTGTGCTCTGTGAGGAGCATAGATTTTTTTAAAGCTTCACCTTCTCCATGTAGAGCCAAAGGGTGATGAAAATGGCCACACAGGACAGCTGCTGTCCCACAAAGCCTGCTTCTTTCACCACGGCCCAGTAATGGTAGTGATGGAGGCCCTCGTTCCTGCGTAGTTCCTCCAGGAACCTCTGGTCCACATAGTTATCAGGGAAAGGCTGGCGCTCCCACAGCACCTTCCGCCAGGGAACAGCTGGACCTGGGGAACTGTCCGGCCCCATCAGCCTGACCACACACACACACACACACACAGATGGATTTGTGACAAAGCATGTTTGAGCTAACGTGCAAAAGGGGAAGTTCCCGGCTGAACACCTCCAGACCCCCAGGAGACTCTAACAACACCCGCAGACTTACTGTGAACTACTTAAAGTTAATTTATTTTAAAATATCCAGCATTAAAGCCAAGTATCAACTAACAAGGGCCATAAGATGGTTACTGCACTAAACACCCACACAGAAGTAACTTCATTAAACTGTGCAATACTGTTTTTCTGTCTGTGAAATGTATATACCTAACTGTATATATTCTGTTTCTGTTTCTATTTTGCATATGTTCATATCTTTATATCAACTTTTTAATTGCTTTATTACCTTTCTTAATTCTTTTTTTTTTTTACCATCCCATTAACTGCTGCCGCGTAGCTAATTCCCCCACAGTGAGACCAATAAAGGATTGCTGTTACTTCTGCAGCTGTTGAGGCTTTGTAAACTCTGAGGCAGGACACAGTGTGGCAGTAGGTTTTCACAATAAAGCATAAACATATCTGACAATCCCATATGATGAGTGTTTGGATTACTGTGAAAGTGTAGAAGACAGGGGGATGTAATTGTTGCCATTTGATTACTCTTGTTTCAGGATTATTACTGAAGTCAAAGAGATAAATAGTCATATTTATAAGAGGACTTTATTACCCTAAATACAGATACTACACACAGCCACTGAGCAGTCACAGCAGCCACTGTATACAATATGGAACCTTCCATTGCTATTGCTTTACTCTGCATGTCAACACACATTAGTGTCTGCTTGTGTACACATGCATTGCCTATGTTGACATGAAGCTTTCGATAGCTTGAAGCTAACAAGTTGTATAACATATGGTGAAATAGTCGCTTTCATTCAGTCGACAGCTTTAACCCAGTACCTGCTGGTGTGTGTGTGTGTGTGTGTGTGTGTGTGTGTGTGTGTGTGTGTGTGTTCAGTGTTCAGTGTCCGGTGACAGCATCAGTCTGAACTGAGTTTACAGCATTTTGACGGTTGCGCCTTTTTAAGAAAAACTAAAGCTACGTCCTGATTTAACGCGATAGTAAAACCAGCCACGCCACATGTAAACGTGTGTAAATGAACACTGGAGAGCGGAACTGTCTCCATAAATGTCCGAAAAAAGGTTTTTCCACCTACCTGGGATGTGATTGTTGTGAATGCACTAGCGCATCAAGTCATTATCCCGGAAGTGAAGCTCATGACCTGAGCTCACAGCGCCCCCTGTTGTTGGAAGCCTTGTAATAGCACGCTGTCAGAACTATACTTATTATTTTCAAGTAGTGTGTGTGTGTGTGTGTGTGTGTGTGTGTGTGTGTGTGTGTGTGTGTGTGTG